GGTCGGCCGTGGGATGGCGGCAGGAGGCTGGAAAGGGCTGTTTGTGGCCGCAGCCGGGCAGGATTCTGTTACGCGGAGCTGAAGGTTGGCAGTGACCCACCAGAGCCCTGGTCAGGAGACGCGTCTGCTTGGAGAAACGTCAGTTAGGAAAAGACTCTCCCTATCGGCATAGTTTTTGGTTAAAACAGCAAAGAGAAAAAACAGTTGACCCCCAGGATGAGTTAGCCTTGTGTTGAGATGTTTGACTAAAGCGTAGGAGACCCAGTAAAAGTCCGTCTGCAAATCACTTTCCAGGGATCTTTTTCCAAATCTGGTTTGTTGTTTTTTTTTTTCCTCCTGTAAAAGATGTGCATAGATTTAGCAATTGAAACTTCAGGAATTGAAAGTCTGGTAACTAATCCATGATTTTCAATTGTTTTACAGATAAGTGATCCTACGCAGTTTCTCCAGGACTGTTTCCACTGGTAGAATTTCATCGGATCCCTTACTTTGAGTTGGCATTTTCAAATCTATTCATGAGACATTATTAAAAATGAATAATAAAATAAGTTATTTGTTAAATACTGTTAGATGCATGCATAGGTGCAATTCTGTGCTCACTCCCAAATCTTCAGCCTCAACAAGAAAACACATTTTATGGATTGGCAGATACAAGGATCCCCTGGAAAATGGGAACTTCAGGAAATTATTTTTAAATATTTGTCCTTCTCTGCATGGATCATCTCTTCGATTTCTATCTCAGAAGACAGATGTTTTTAGCACAGGTGCTGAAATACAAACAGAGAAGAGTACAGAGGCTTTGGTGAGTGAGGAGGCTCCCCAAAGCTCCGTGGAACTTGAAAAGTTGGATGATACTGGGAGCTTCAAAGTGAAGCACGTAATGGATCATAGTGAACCGTTCTTCAATAGTCTGCAGAAATGTACCTGTCCTTGCGATGTACTGGACTTGGCTTCAGAGTCTGCTGTTTCCATTAAGCATTTCACAAACTGTTTAACTACAGTATGGAGGCTCTTCAAAAACCTGTCTGAAGACCAGCAGCGTTACGAGAAGCAGCTGATCTTTGAGCACCCAGCTTTTGTCAACCTTTGTCAGCAGCTGCTGCGGGACTCCAGAAGGATGACACGGGGTGACCTGGTGTTCAGTCTGCATGCCGTGGTGAACCTAGGCGTTCCTCAGAACACTCTCCTAGTCCAGACTTTGGTGAGAGTGTGCCAAGTAAGTCTCAAAATCCCTCTTCTCCTAAGTTGGGGCTGAAGCCTCGGGGCTAATTCTGGGAGGCTGTGTAGCATCAGAGTTGGGTTACGTCCCTGGTTTAGTCTGATGTTCCATGGAAACAGGGCTCCCATAGTTAATTTGTGCGTACTTCTGATTTTCTTCATTTTTGAAACCACTGCCTGATTTCAGACAGATTTAACAGAGAGGAGAAATCTCAAAAATCATTACCATTTTCAAATCAACTAAATTTGACTGATGTGAGACCTTGCAGGTCACTGCAGAATTAAAGCTTATGAATTGACTTTTGGGGGGAAAGAGAAGACTGCAGGTACAGATTGAGAGTGGTAAGTTTTTCTTTTCTGGAACTTTTACTGGTCTGAAGTAATCTGATGTTGTGAAAACTCTTTAACAGGAGAAGCTCAATCAACTTGATAATCGATGTATCTCAGTTTTGGCAACTACTTTAGCGGGGCTGGATAAAGACAAGAATGTGAGCGCTCTTCAAGCTGGATTACAGTGAGAAAAATATATCTTTCACATGTTCTTCATATTTAAATGTTGTTTGAATATATGTCTTTTAGAAATCATGGAGGGAATGTCTGCGCATAAAAGACATACAGTGGTTTTAGGACTTAAATGATCAGATGTGATAACAGCTGTACAAGACAGTGATTTTTGGCATTGTCTTTACAGTTTCAAGCAGAAAGGCTTCCGATGGCAAAGGGTGCTAGACTGCTCTGCAGGAGATTCATACTCTGACTGCAGCTCCACTGTGGTTTTTTTGTGACGTTGATCAAGTCACTTCACATATCTATGCCTCTGTTTTACCCGTGTGTATAAAGGAGGTAATGAGACTAGCTTACTTTGTGAAGTGTTTTGATTTGTCATGATGAAAAATGCTGTTTAACAGCCAGGGAATATTTTCTTTTAATTTAGTAAGTAAAAATTAAGATGAAGACAAGTTTAGACTTTATCTGTGCATCCAGCAAGGCCTTCTGTGTAGTGCTTTATCAGAATAACTTCTTTGGCTGTAGTGATTTTTTTCTGGGCCAGTGAGATTTATGTGGTAACCAATCTGCTCATTCCCATGAGATTGTTTCTACTGAGGCTGTCACAAAACTTGCCATGGATTTGTACTTGATCCTGTGTCAGGTCCTGCTTTGAGAAGGTGGATGTGTTAGTGATACGCAAAAAACAGGTTCTCCTGGAAGCTCAGGTACACAGTTCTTGTAAGTTGGCAGAAAGCAGGAAATCCATCCACAGCTCTTTCTCTGTCTTGATGTCTGGAGCTCTTGCCCATCTGCAGGAAGCCGCATCTGTAGGGATGAATTTCAGAGCAGTGCACTGCCTTAGAAAGTGACACTTCATATTTTTGTATCTGTGCAGGTATATTTAAGGGCAATTCAGGCATAACAATTACAATACCTCCCTCTGAGCCAGAAAAGGAGGTGCTGGGAATGTAGAACTCCATCTTGTGCTTATGATCCCTCTGTGTTATGATATCCCCTTCTGTTCCTGCAGCCCACAGCACTACTTGTTTGGTTTTTTCCTCTTGTTGTCAGTGTCTGTCTCTGAGTTTCCTAGCTGTTTCAGAACTTGCCTGCACATAGATGATTCTATGACAATAATGTGCAATTTTTTTTTTTCTGCAGAAGAGTGTTAATTCCTTGAGGCTTAAGAGCGCTCATGTCTGCACAGTCTGGTCAGGTGTCCTTGCTGTTAATGTATCGGCAACAACGCTCATCTATCAGGATAACATTAAGAAAGCATATATAATTATTTCCATGTGCAAAATATCTGTGCTGCAGCTACCTCATGTAGAGTTAAGCCAGCCTTGTAAAAAAGGAGATGGGAGAGGAGCACGGAATTACAACTTTAACTTGGGAGTACATCAGTGAGGGAGAATGGGGGTTCCTACCTGTTTCTGCTGAAATGAGGAAAGCTCTATTAAACAGTTACTCTCTCTAGCTCAAGGCCTTGTGTTTGTTTCTTCATCAGATTACTAGTGGAGCAGCGCATTCCAAGTATCAGAGACATCTTTATACTGCAAAACCTGATGAAATGCATAGGAGAAGATGCTCCAGTCTTTCTGAAAAAGAAATTAGAGGTACATTTAGTTGGAGGCTCATTTTTACTTCCACAAAGCCTGTGCTCTTGCATTGTTTATAAATTGTGTATGGTTCTTTCCAGACACTCAAAGAGAAAATATAATAGAAAGGTTAACTACATTTGCTATATGTATCATAGTCCAGCTATATCTGTAGGAAGAACTTGAATTTGGAGGCTGGGAATATCCCACCATGAAAGGGGGCAGAAAGCAGTGGAGATAGTACAAAAGGAATTGAGTCAGAAAAATAGCAGTGCCCTCACCTCTTGTTTGGGTTGGCCACATGATATTTCATAGAAGCACTTACAGGCTGTTCGCTGATTCCCTTGCCCAGCTTGTGGCTGGAAGACGAGGAGACAGAAAACTAGCCTGTGATGGGGCTGTGTCCAATAATGGGATGGGGCTAGAGGACTGGTGGGAGTGAGATGCCAGGAGAACTCACCT